TACAGTACTTGCCTAGAGAAGCAGCCATGTGCAGATTTAGCAAGTGTCAAAACCCTGAACATATTTTAGCTATCTGTTCAATGTATGATGACATAATCAAAGCATTAATTGATTCAAGCAAACCTTTATGCAGATCTAAAGCTAAAAAGAAAGTATAACCCAGTTGGAATGACCATGTGGGTGATTTTTATGGGAAAGCATGTGAGGCGTCCAGTGAGTGGATTCAAGCAGGGAGACCAAGAAATGGACCAGTTTTTGAGCACAAAGTGGTCACCAAGGCCCAATATAAGTATGCTCTTCGTTATATAGTAAAAAATGAGCAGGCAATGAAAGCTGATTCTATGGCCGGTAGACTACTCTGTAACAATTCACATGCTTTTTGGAAAGAAGTTCGAGCCAAGAAAGTTCCTCTTCCATGTGCTATTGATGGCATCTCTGGCCCTGATAATATTGCAGAAATGTGGTGGCAACATTACAATAACTTATTTAATTGTGTTCAAAGTGAGACATATGAAGTCCATAAAGCTATTAATAACTTGTCAATTAACAAAGCCAAAGGGATAGACTGTGTCTCGGCTGAACACTTAAAATTTGCAAATGCAATGTTGGCACCTCTGCTTTCTATCTGTTTTACAGCTTTTCTCGCTCATGGGTTCCTGCCTAACTCGAGGATGACTTTCTTGCTAGTTCCGGTTATAAATAATAAAACAGGAAAGATTGCCAGTAGTGATAATTACAGACCAATTGCGCTGGCCAGTGTAGTATCTAAAATATTTGAAGCTATCTTATTTCTAAGTTGATTACATCTTCAGATGGTCAGTTTGGTCAAGGCTCAGTTGGGCACAGACATGTGCATTTATGTTTTTAAAGAACTAATTGCTAAATACAAGAAAACTAAATTCCTCAGTTCCTCAGCTTTCTGGATGTGTCCAAAGCTTTTGATAGGGTTAACCATAGAAAATTATCCATAAAATTAATCCAGAAGGGTGTGCCGAAATATATTGTGAGGATCTTGGTGTTTTGGTATAGCCAACAGAGAATGCAAGTGAAATGGGGGGACAGTGTGACTTATGGTTGGCAATGGGGTGAGACAAGGGGGGATTCTGTCCCCAATTCTTTTTAATCTTTATCTGGACAAACTTTCTATGAGACACGGCACGGTGGCTGAGTGGATAGCACTCTCGCCCCTCAGCAAGAAGGTCCTGGGTTCGAATCGTGGTCGAACCAGGGCCTTTCTGAGTGGAGTTTGCATGTTCTCCCCATGTCTGTGTAGGTTTCCTCCGGGTACTCCGGTTTCCCCTACCACTAAAAATATGTACAATAGGTCTGGCATGCGCCTGCTGTTCGGCGACCCCGCTCCCATCTCTGTGTGGAGTGAGAGGACAAATGCCCAAAAATATTGTAAAAAAAATTGTAAACCGCTTTGTGACTATGGTCTGTGAAAGGTGGTATGTAAATAAAGATTACTTACTACTTACTTAAAGCCTGTCAAACTGGTTGTGTGTCTGGAAATAGTGTTTTAAATCACCTCTTGTATGCTGATGACTTGGTGGTCTTCAGTCCCAGCACTTCAGGACTGCAGCAATTACTTAATGTCTGCTCACAGTACGGTATAGAGCATGACCTCGTGCTTAATGCATCCAAAAGTATGGTCATGATTTGTAGGACAAAGGAGGACAGAAATATGAATTTTCCAGCTTTTTATCTGTCAAACACTTCACTTACTGTTTCAAGCAAAATAAAATACGAGGGGCTTAGAGTCACAGAGGACCTTTCTGATGATGATGACATTAAGAGACTCAGGCCAATACTCTGGCACGCAGATTTGGATTCTGCACAGACCAGGTCAAAATAAGGCTCTTTAAGACTTACTGTACACCGCTGTACTCAGCTCATCTTTGACAAAAAAGGATCAATGCAAAAGCTGCAGGTGGCTTGTAATGATGCTCTCCGAGTGCTTCTCAGGAGGCCGAGATGGACCAGTGCGAGTGAGATGTTTGTCACTGCAAGAGTCAACACCTTACAGGCCACACTGCGGACACTCACGAACAGCTTCATTGGACGATTGAACAGGTCTGTCAATGAAATAGTTGTGTCACTGGTTGATATCTGGTGTAGTGCGGCCAGTTATCAGTCGAGGATGTGGACGCACTGGTATAGTTGTCTTCTGTCTTTTTAACATGTATGTTTTGTCCGTTTTTGTGTGTGTCAATGTTGGACCATGAGTCCGTAATAAAAGCTTCATTCATTCATCTGTAACAAACCCAATCATCTTCATTTATATATATATATATTTTTGCTACAAACAATGAATAATAAAATAATATGTGTTTTTGGTCAATATGCAATTCATAAATTGTACATTTAAATTATGATTTAATTCACGCATGGATCTGGTCCTCTGCACACACTGGTTCTCCATGCGCTCTGGTCCCGTTCACTCTGCTCTCCAGCTCGCCTCTTAGTTCTGTTCCGTGTCCCGTTCCCCTGTTCCTCATACTTCCCGTTTCTCCCCCGTTTCTTTTCCCACACATCACGTTTTACCCATTTCAATCTCGCATCGAAATTAGCAAGAAATTATCACTCGATTTGATGCGTTCACTAGCGTTTGCATGACAGCTGTCAGCTTTCTGCAGTCCAATGTGACGGCACAACTACCAGTCGCTATGAATTGTGGGTAGCATGACGTCACGCACACATCCAACACATCAGGGCGGGACCGGTGGAGGCGGGTCCCGGGTCCAAAAGGTCCATAAGCACGTGCGCTGACTTCATGCAATCTCACTCCGGGCCGGTGGGGGTGTACCTGGAACAAGAATTAACCAATGCTTTTGTATTTTCCTTTAAAAAACATCTTGGTTTTGGGCTGCAGAGGACGCAGATGCCTCCTTGCCGCCATAAAACCATCTCCTCCTTGTTGCATGCAAGTATAAACTAATTAAGGCAAGGCAAGTTTATTTAAATAGCACAATTCATACACAAGGCAATTCAAAGTGCTGAGCAAAACAAGATGGCATCAAAATCATAAATAATCACGGTACATTAAAAAGAAAGATAAAAATATAAAATCCCTCAGTTGTATGCACAGCTAAACAGAACTGTTTTTAACCTGGTTTTAAACATTGTCAGAGAGGAGGCCTGTCTCACACTTTCAGGAAGATTGTTCCAGATTTTAGCAGCATGAATCTGAAATGCAGCCTCCCCATGTTCAGTCCTGTGTGTGTGCTTTTGTCAAGGTACTGTCGTTCAGAACTAGCTTTAACAAAAAATATAAAAGATGAACATTTGAAAAGAAACCAGCTTAATGAATGATCTTAATCAATTGCTACTTAAAACTAAGAAGAAAAAAAACAAGTTAAAGCTTTTAAAAGAAGAAATTGATCAATTCTATATTGACACAGCCAAGGGAGCATTTATAAGATCACAAAGAAAATGGTTGAAGCTTTTTTGCGTTGGAAAATAAATTGAAAGAGAAAGGATTTTCATTCATTGAAATCAGGAGATAAAGTGTTGTCTGACCAAAAGTTACTGTCCAAATATGTTGAGCATTTCTACAGAGATATCTACTGTTATAAAGTTCAACCTGATGTATCTGAATCATTTATTAATTCCATGAAAAATCTTGTCCCTACTATTTCAGAAGAATTTAAATTGAACTGTGATCAACCATTAACAAAAACAGAATTTGAGAAATGTGGTGAAAGCACTAAAAAGAGGGAAATCAGTAGAAGCCGTGAGCAATTTGAACCACACTATCGCCCCATGCGCCTCGGGCTGATTCATTTATTTTCTTAGATCCTCTTACATGCGTCGGCCGGCACCAGCCCCATTCATTTAATGAGTGCATTCTAAAGTCCACAGCGGCTAAACTAGACGGGTCCAAAAAAGCATACTCCCCTCAGCATTGACACACATCTGGAACTTAGATGCAACTTTTGGGCCATCCTGTAATGCAGTTTTCGAGAGGAAAGAAGGAGGCATAAAAAAGCATTGGGTAATTCTCTTTCCAGGTACACCCCCACCGGCTAGGGGTGAGATTGCAAATATGTCAGCGTATGTGCTCATGGACCTTTTTGAGCCAGGACCCGCCCTCACCGCGAAAAATGCATCTCTCGAGCGATCGTAGCGAGGATCAGGACAGCTCGTGTGCGGAGCGCTTCTTTCAGACGGTTTGTCAAACACAGTGCTGCTCCTCAAAGTCCATGAGTGTTTTTGTTCTAAATCAAACAATATTGATTATAGGGTCCTGTTTCCTACCTCCCCTTTTCGAGTGGGGTCTACAATACTCTTTTCAAGTGTGGTTTACAACCCTTTTCCGATTCGGTCGACCACCTTTTTTAAGTTGGGTCTACAACTTGCTTCTGTAGTGGACACTTTTTAAAACAGTATTTGTTTCTTAAATTGATTTTATTTGTTGCTTCGAACCTGTGTGACCTTTAGAACATGGGATAACGTTTTTCATGTTTCCTTAGGCCAAATTCTAAGGTGGCGTTGTTGGTATTATATATATTTAAATTGACATCATAGTGAGTAGGCGTTAAGTAATTCCTAAGCCGCGACATATACTGTACATGTTTTTTGTTCTGTGGAATTGTGTTTGAATACACCTGTGGTCTCCCATCACAAGTCAGACCAGGCCCAGCCTTGCTGAGTATCTGAGATCTGCTGATGAGCAGGTGTGATGAGCATGTCCGAGCACGACAGTGTATACAATCAGAAGTCTGTCTGATAAAGAATATAATAGTTTTAACTATGTCTACTCTGCATTGATGCATAATGTAGTCAATATGTGTTTGTCTCGGCATGTTTAGCTCGTACATAAATGCACCAACTAGTTGTCAATGGTTAATTTAAAATAGTGATATAGATTCTCTCTGTCTTTGTCTTCGACTGTGTCTATTTTTAGGTATCATTCAAAACTAAATATGATTCATGTAGTAGGGCTCCCTCTCTGGTGGCTGAAGGGAACAACAGCCTGACTTATTTTTGTTCAGCTCTAGTCATTCTTTGTTTGACTGTGTGCCTCTTGCGCAGTAGTACACTGCAGAGTCTGCAGGCTGCATGTTCTGTCCGATCAGAGTCACTGTGTTACTGGAGGTGTCTAAATCAATACTGAATTTGTTCCTCAGACTTTCTTTATAGTAGGATGCTCCGGTGTATTTGCTTCCAATCCACTCCAGGCCTTTCCCTGCCTGCTGTCTGATCCATGCAGTGAAGTAGCTGCCTAAAGAGTAGGAGACGTTACAGGGGAGGGAGAGAGTGTGCCCTGGCTGCACAGTCACCGAGGCCACCTGTGTCAGTGTCTCACTCTTCACACCTGTGGAGAACACAACACAATAATGAGGATAAAACTGTACTGTTTACTTGTAGCAGAGTTGGATGTGAAGAGAGACTTACAGGATCCAGCTGCCAGCAGCAGCAGAAGAGCCACAGACAGCATCATCAGAGCAGAGATCACTGGGACACACTCACATGGGCCTTATATAGACACAGGAGCACCGCTTTAGTTTGCATTCAGACTCACTGGGAGGAGCAGCTGGGACCGTATAACATGTATACAAATGTATTATCAATTAAATTTGCATGAGAATTAATGTGGAGCAGAAAGGAATGGTTCTTATTTCGTCTGTGTCTTGTTTATTTATAATTAACTTGAGTGCAAACATTTCACAAAAACAATTAAAACAGAATTTGTTTATCCTCAGACAAAATGAGGGTGATTTTCTCATTCGGGGCACTGTAAAAAAGTCCTGACACTGTTGTACTTGCTTTACAGAAGCGTGTATCATGTTAGTTAGTTAGTTCGTTTATTTATTCTTCGGCCAATATGTACACAGATACAGAGATCACATTTACTTTTTACAACAAGAAAAAAAAAAAAAGAACCAAAATGTGTCCATAAAGGACCTTGTGCGAAACAATACCTGACCGAAAGGGTTTAGGCTGAAGTCCAAACTTATACTGCCTAACCCCTAATAGAATGTGAAAATACGTCCAAAGATGACAAATTATACAGATTCTCATATACCAACAATGGTAACATGAAGCACCAAAAACTTGCACTTCAACAAATCAAAATTATGTTATACACGATCAAAATTATAGGTGACACAAAATACAGATTCTCATATACCAACGATGGTAACATGAAGCACAAAACATGAACTTCCATAAACACGAGTTATTAAACATAGTCCAATCCAATTGTCCTATACTTCTCCATAATATTTGACTTATACTTTTTTTTTAATGTTTTAATGGTTCTTGAGCCCTTAAGTTGAATAGATAGACTGTTCCATAGATCAACAGTGTGACACCGTCAAACTCTGTTCTGATCACCAGGGTACAAGGATCACAACAGTTTTAAAAGTTTAAGAATGATTTATTACCAAAAAAGTCCTTAAAAGTATGATTAGAACTAGGGAGATTTGGTTAAAATTAGAGGGGAGAGGCTTGAGTGCAAAACTTGGGGAACAAAGCTTTAACAGCTTTTTCCAGGGTCCAAGCATAAATGAATTTTTAAGAAAAGTTATAAATGTAAAGAGCGATTTGGTTGACCATGCTGGTGTGGCTCTCAGTTAAAAAAACATTGCCGTAGAATTCCAAAAACAGTTTGTTGAACACATATTTTTCTAGGCTATGCTCACTGACAGAGCAGCCACCTCAGGATCAGTGAGGGGCTGGTGCTATGTGAATTGGGTCCATCTCTGATTGCCAACCCCCCAACCCAGAAATGGATTAAGGGGAAGAAGATGGATGGATGGATATATTTGCTCATTGATTGTGAGGTTGTTCTCAGCGAGTCGCACGAAGACTGCCTCCACGAAACAAACATGATCTGCATGTGTGGCCCCTGAAATCATCACTGAAGTTTCTTACTCCTGGTTATCCATGCAGCACGTTTGGAATTGTACGCTGGAAACTGGATATTCTGAAGATGAGTCTTGTATATCTCCTCAGTCCCACATGTGTGGAAGATGTGCTCATGTATCTGGATTCAGGTGCTAGTTCCAGTTGATGGTATCCTGCGTTTAGGTCCAGCTTTGAGAAGGTAGTTGCACCGTTAAGATCATGAATGATGTCATCCACTGTAGGTGTTATGTGCCTCTGGACAGCCGTGTTTGGCAGGCACATGTCAATGCACAGGTGGATTTTTGGGTTTTGGAGTTGCTATGATGGACGACACCCATGGCGTTGGGCTATGAACTATTTCAACGATGCCCTTGTCCCCTCTCAATATTGCAGTTCCTCTTCTACTTTGGAGTTCTTAACCGTTGAAATTCATATTTAAAAACTTAAAAACATGGTTGTTAGCTGCTTGAACAGAACACCTGGTCCATGTCTTGATATTTTCAACCAAAAAATCAAAAGTTCTATGATCTGAATAAAATCCACATTGTATTTGGCGACTTTAATATCAATCTCCTAAATCCTATGAATAATGTGAAAACAAATGATTTCATGAACGCTATGTATTGTAACACACTCTTATCACTTATACTTAAACCGACCAGAATCTCAGTCAAATTATCTAGATTTATAGATAATATATTACCAACCATATACTGTAGGTAATCAAATTACTTCAGGAATACTTATTAATGACATTAGTGACCATCTTCCCATTTTTTACCAGTTACAGCTTAGCAGTCCCAAAACAGATACTTTCAAACTTATTAGACATCGAACACCGGAAGCTATTGCAGCCTTCAAGGCTGACTTATGTGCTCAGACCTGGGGGGAAGTACGTAACTCCAGACCCTGATAGAGCCTATGATGCTTTTCTATTTACTCTAACCAAATTATATGATAAGAACTGTCCATTTAAGAAATATGTTATTAAAGTTAGTAATCAGGACAAGCCATGGATCACAAAGGGCCTAGCCAAGGCCTGTCAAAATAAACAACATCTTTATTTTTTCTAATATATTTTTCTTATATATTAAAGAAAAAATAATTAAGCACTGCCATTTATCTGTATGTTTTTCTTAAGGTTTCAGCTACCCTGAAAACAAAAATAAAAATATTTCTGGCACTATTAGTTAGTACAAATTTAACACTAGGGTTGTAATGAATGGGCGAAGCGGTGCAGAGAGGACTGGGCAGCGGTCGAAGGCGGAGACCTCGGCGACCCAGTCCGCACACACAACAGCTGGCTCTTGGGACGTGGAACGTCACCTCACTGGGGGGGAAGGAGCCCGAGCTTGTGGGGGAGGTTGAGCGATACCGACTAGAGATAGTCGGCCTCACCTCCACACACAGCTTGGGCTCTGGAACCCAACTCCTTGAGAGGGGTTGGCCGCTCCACTTTTCTGGAGTTTCCCGCGGGGAGAGGCGGCGAGCTGGGGTGGCCATTCTCATTGCCCCCCATCTCAGCCGCCACGTGTTGGAGTTCTCCCCGGTGAATGAGAGGGTCGCGTCCCTCCGCCTCCGGGTGGGGGACAAGTCTCTCATTGTTGTGACGGCCTACGGGCCTAACAGCAGTGCAGAGTACCCGGCCTTCTTGGAGTCCTTGGGAGGGGTACTGGACGGTGCACCGCCCGGGGACTCCGTTATTCTCCTGGGGGACTTCAACGCCCATGTGGGAAACGCCAGTGAACCTTGGAGAGGGGTGATCGGGAAGAGCGGCCCCCCTGATCTGAACCCGAGCGGTGTTCAGTTGTTGGACTTCTGTGCCAGTCACAGTTTGTCCATCACGAACACCATGTTCGAGCACAAGGGTGTCCACCAGTGCACGTGGCACCAGGACGCCCTAGGCCGGAGGTCGATGATCGACTTTGTTGTCGTATCATCTGACCTTCGACCGCGTGTCTCGGACACTCGGGTAAAGAGAGGGGCGGAGCTGTCAACCGATCATCACCTGGTCGTGAGTTGGATCCGCTGGCAGGGGAAGAAGCCGGTCAGACCTGGCAGACCCAAGCGTATAGTGAGGGTCTGCTGGGAACGTCTCGCTGAGCCCCCTGTCAGACGGACTTTCAACTCACACCTCCGGGAGAGTTTCTCCCAGGTCCCGGAGGAGGAGGGGGACATGGAGTCCGAGTGGACCATGTTCTCTGCCTCAATCGCCGATGCGGCGGCTCGTAGCTGTGGTCGCAAGGTCTCTGGTGCTGGTCCAGGCGGCAACCCCCGAACCCGGTGGTGGACACCGGCAGTAAGGGATGCTGTCAGGCTGAAGAAGGAGTCCTATCGAGCCATGATGGTTCGGGGGACTCCTGAGGCAGCTGTCCAGTACCGGCAGGCCAAGCGTGCCGCGGCCCGGGCTGTTGCAGAGGCAAAAACCCGGGACTGGGAGGAGTTCGGAGAGTCCATGGAGCATGACTATCGGTCGGCCTCGAAGAGATTCTGGCAAACCATCCGGCGCCTCAGGAGGGGGAAGCAGTTCTTTGCCAACACCATGTACGGTGCGGGTGGAGAACTGCTGACCTCGACTGGGGATATTGTCGGGCGGTGGAAGGAATACTTTGATTTGAGGTTCTCCTCCATCCCCCCGTCACGTCCTCTGTTTCAGAGGCAGAGGCTGAGGATGTTGGGGCGGATACATCCATCTCCCTGGCTGAGGTCACCAAGGTGGTTGGTAGCCTCCATGGTGGCAAGGCTCCGGGTGTGGATGAGATCCGCCCTGATTATCTAAAGTCTCTGGATGTTGTAGGACTGTCTTGGCTGACACGTCTCTGCAACATCGCGTGGCGATCGGGGGCAGTGCCAATGGAGTGGCAGACCGGGGTGGTGGTCCCTCTCTACAAGAAGGGGGACCGGAGGGTGTGTTCCAATTATCGTGGGATCACACTCCTCAGCCTCCCCGGTAAGGTCTACTCCAAGGTACTGGAGAGGAGGCTACGGCCGATGGTCGAATCTCGGATCCAGGAGGGGCAGTGTGGTTTTCGTCCCGGTCGCGGAACACTGGACCAGGTCTATACTCTCCATCGGATACTCGAGGGTTCATGGGAGTTCGCCCAACCTGTCCACATGTGTTTTGTGGATTTGGAGAAGGCATTCGACTGTGTTCCCCGGGGTGTCCTTTGGGGGGTTCTCCGGGAGTACGGGGTCGGAGGTCCTCTGCTGAGGGCCATCCGATCCCTGTATGACCGGAGCCAGAGCTGTGTTCGCATTGCCGGCAGTAAGTAGACCTGTTCCCGGTGAATGTTGGCCTCCGACAGGGCTGCCCTTTGTCACCGGTTCTGTTCACTGTATTTATGGACAGAATATCTAGGCGCAGCCAGGGGTCGGAGGGGGTCCGGTTCGGAGACCACAGGATTTCATCTCTGCTGTTTGCGGACGATGTTGTCCTGTTGGCTCCAACGAACCAGGACCTGCAGCATGCACTGGGGCGGTTTGCAGCCGAGTGTGAAGCGGCTGGGATGAGAATCAGCACCTCCAAATCCGAGGCCATGGTGCTCGACCGAAAAAAGGTGCCTTGCCCTCTGCAGGTGGGTGGAGAGGTCCTTCCTCAAGTGGAG